TTATCCCGCGGTTTCTTTTGTAACGCTCCAATTACATATTATAATATAATATCTATTTTATATATATTATTTATTTTCCAACCTATAAATAATAAACCATTAATATATTAATTTTATATATTAAATTATATATTTTTATATAATAAATTATTTAAAAATATTTTTTTATACAAATAATTTAGCCTCTTATTTATTTATATATTTATAAATTTATTAAATATATTTTAAAATCCATTTCCATAAATTAATTCCTAAAATTTAATATAAAATTTATGAGGATAAATTTTTCCAAAATTCAATATATCGAAATTATTTATATACATATGATAAATTTGGGATCCCTGCCAAATGATTGGATCCAAAAATAAATTGTTCAATAATCAATTCTATAATTGGATTTTTAATATTATTGTATTAATATTATTATATCAGATTGTGATTCCAATACTAGCATGTACTAGCAATATTTTCTGGGATGGAATTGCCAAGGGACGGGGGCCACATTCGCCCCTGAAAGAGGGTCACATTCGCCCCTGAACCAAAAGGGGTCACATTCGCCCCTGAAGCACAAAACTTTCAATGTGGTACTCAACCCTTTAGGGTTAAACCTGGGGACAAGGGGACATGTAGGGGGACTGGGGAACCTTTAGGAGGGACTTGGGGGCATATGGTAACTTGCCTCTCTATTCAATATGTTGCTCAACCCTTTAGGGTTAAACCTGGGGACAAGGAGACATTTAGGGGGACTGGGGAACCTTTAGGGGGGACTTGAGGGCATATGGTAACTTGCCTCTTTATTCAATATGTTACTCAACCCTTTAGGGTTAAACCTGGGGACAAGGGGACATTTAGGGGGACTGGGGAACCTTTAGGGGGGACTTGGGGGCATATGGTAACTTGCCTCTCTATTCAATATGTTACTCAACCCTTTAGGGTTAAACCTGGGGACAAGGGGCATTTAGGGGGACTGGGGAACCTTTAGGGGGGACTTGGGGGCATATGGTAACTTGCCTCTCTATTCAATACGTTACTCAACCCTTTAGGGTTTACCCTGGGGACAAGGGGACATTTAGGGGGACTGGGGGACCTTTAGGGGCATCCAAACCGTCTTCGAAGGTGCTCGAAATGGATCTTACAACCTAGCATCCATAGTGTCCTGGAAGTTGATTGAAATGGCTGTTGGAACGTAGCATCCAAAGCATCTTCGAAGTTGCTCGAAATGGATGTTACAACGTAGCAATGGTAAACCGTAGCATCCATAGTGTCATGGAAGTTGATTCAAATGGCTGTTGGAACATAGCATCCGAGGCGTCTTCCAAGTTGCTCGAAATGGATTGTACAACGTAGCATCCATAGCGTGCTGCTAGTTGATTGAAATGGCTGTTGGAACGTAGCATCCAAAGTGTCTTCCAAGTTGCTCGAAATGGGTGTTACAACGTAGCATCCATAGCGTGCTGGAAGTTGATTGAAATGGCTGTTGGAACGTAGCATCCAAAGCATCTTCGAAGTTGCTCGAAATGGATGTTACAGCGTAGCAATGGTACACCATAGCATCCATAGTGTCCTGGAAGTTGATTGAAATGGCTGTTGGAACGTCGCATAGCACGTGAATATGACTCTCTAGGGGGGAAAAATCCTTTTGAGGCTCTGAAACTATTGCGCCTGCCACGCAAAAGCAGGGGTCACATTCGCCCCTGAACGAGGGTCACATTCGCCCCTGAACCCACTTCATCGCACTTCATTCAGGGGCAAGTGCGACCCAACATGGTTCAGGGGCAAATGCGACCCCCGTGCCGCCAATGATCATGAAACCTTTTGACAATGATCCCTGTGGCAATCCTAAAGCTGCAACAATCCTGAGCTCAGAGGTTCCAAACTACATGTTCATCGTACGTTCACAACCATTCGCATCCAAAATCGATGTGGCCTTAAAATCGCAAGCATTTTTCAATGCTGGACGAGGCATCGCTTGGGCTCAGCTTGGCAGCAGGATTTCCCAGGCTCTCCTGGTGGCTTCAACCCCAGTCCTTGGGGATCATCCCATCTTTGGTGCTATGAAGCAGTCACCGGCATACCTACCAAAACAACCCAAGAAAATGTAGCGCAAACAAAACAGGGCTTTGGGATAAACAAGCATCCAACATCATTCCAAAAGAATAACACCCCGTCCAAAATCCGGTAAAACATCGTGATTTGCAAGCAATCTTTTTGGAGAGGCATGATTAAATGACAGTCTATTTCAGAAGAACAATTTGTAGTTAGTAGCTAGTGGTCCTTTAGAAAAAAGAACGTGCGGTGGTTACGATAACGATAACTCTTCGGAAGAGCGGTAATGAAACCTCAGGGCACCGAATTCAGTGCTCAGTGATACTGCCGTAATGGCTTTTGCATATTCATTTGACGTTTGTAAGAAATAACATTTAGATACATTTGTGTTACCTTCTTTGGTGACCATATATGAGCTGCGGAAAATATTCAACCTCATTTTACCAAAGACCGTAGGTGTTTCCTTACCATTTTGCTGGAATCACTGGAATTGGGGGAATCATTCTGGGGTCGTCCCCAATTGATTTTGACAGGTTGAGGAAAAACTTCAAGGTGATGGGCAATCCAGTGCTTATCTCATCATGTCATAATTTACTTGAGAATATTACGCATAATCCATGAATGCCCATGATATACAGTATAATTCATGTAATTGATCCATTTTTTTCTCTTTGTTCCATATCATTGTTTATGGTCCAACACGTCCAAATTTACATTCAATACAATATTCTCCATGTGAAAAGTTCGCCAAATATTTCCTGAACCGATTTTGACTGAAACCATGGCAAGTTTGCCCATTTCTGAAGGGACATCTCTTCAGATCTTGGAACACCGAATCACCTGAAGCTCCCTGTCCTCACCGTCTTCTGTCTCGTGCATCTTCTCTTCGTCTTCGATCCTGGAGTTTTTTCAAATCGAAATCTCGTCAGGATCAGCTGATCAGCTCATGCCTTCAAACTTTGAACCGTCCAGCTCAAAGGTTCCCATGTTTCCACACAAGAAATGGTCCCAGAGATATCCATCACATGACATCACATGTGAATAATGTGAGCATGGCTCGTGGCATGCGGGCTGTGTTTTTGGTAGGAATCCATGGGTGAAGTGTGTTGGAAGGAACCACATGACATTTATATAATACATGAAGTTTGCTTCTCCTGCTAGCTCCATCCAAAATTTCGTTCACCTGTATAATCTGTGCAGGTTTGTAGTTTCCTCCATCTGTGCCTTTTCAAAAAAGGTATGCAAATCATCCACAGTTCATCAATAATTCTGGATATATCATCAAAATCATCCAATATATTCCCATATATGTAGCGCACAGGCTACGCTGGATCTGTCAGCGGATCTGGCATGCTTCCGCCCCCCGGGTCCTCGCGGCCGCGGCTGCGATCGCGATCCTTGGCCGTGCGATCCATGGGAGTGAGATGTAGCTGTTGACAGGATGAAGGGTGGTATCAACATCATCATCATCATCATCATCATCATAAAGATCATGGTCGTCGTCGTCGTCACCATCATCATCATCATCATCATCACCATCATCATCGTCATCATCATCATCATGATCATCGTCGTCATCGTCATCGTCATCGTCATCATCAACACAACCATCTTGCCAGGGTCGAGTTGGTGGCATTGCCCTTCTGGGAGATCTTTGACCAAACGGTTCCCTGGATGTTCCTTTTCTCAACCAACCACTTTCAGCCGGATCCAACTGTGCAGTTCACAAACAGTACTGCATAGTACTGCGGTACGCGTGGTTCGAGTTGGAAATCCCAGCAGTCCGGGAGCTGCAAAACATCAAAAGAAGCAGGTCAATGATATCAATGATGCTAGATGGTCTGCTTGGACACCTTCAGATTCCATTGCTTTTCTTGAACGTGTCTTGTCGCCGGCCGCAACTGAGTTTCCAGCCTCCCGACCTCGGAAAAAGTCAAGCGGTTTGAAGCCGGGCTGGAGCTGTGTTTGTCTCCTTTTTTCCCTCGCATTGGCTATCCATAAATCCAAATGATATCTACGCAAATCATTGCAGCCCTCTCATGGGTTGCTGCCTCAGGGTGATTCTGAAGCTTCAGAACCAGAACTCACAAATGCTCATAGCTTCTCAAGGTCAATGAAGATTTGCGGCACCGCTATTCCTGCCTGCCACTCAAATCCACGGAGGAGACTAATCAAAAAGAAAAGCGCAAAATCCAGCGACAAAAACCAGATCTGGTCATGTTGTCCTACCATGTCCTGCCTCCAAGTTCAAATAGGAGGTCTGGACTCGCCGGATGCTGGCTAAACCGCTGCTTTCCACTTTGACCTTTGGAAGCTGGGCTCAAGGCTCACGGGATGGGAGGTTGACCATGTAATTGCTACCAAAAGAACTGCATGGTTTCCCGAGAAGGGCTTGAGACCGTACTATTGTACCAACTTTATCTGGGTTTTCCGGCATTCCCTTTTCAATCTTCTCTTTGGTTTGCACTAGCAACCTCTATAACTATATACATATTATATTATATTTGTTTATTGCCTCAAATTTTCCTGTAGATTTTCTCTCAAATCAATCCCGGAAGTTTTAACCCCATCCCATCTCAGGCAAGCGACTGCCACAGAGACCGCGATGTCAATGGCGTTGCCCAGTGCTGTGAGTCGTAGATGCTGCACTGGACCCGGGGCCTACGCGGCAGCCATGAGAAGCAACCCGACACCAAAGCCGCCCATGCGACCAGGGAAGCTGATTGAAATCATGGAGCAAAATCGGCATCATATAGCACATGCATATGTCTATACATGCGTTACTTGAAAAAAACACATGTTCTTGCATCTAGCTATGAAAATCCTGCGCATACAGCCGGGCACACACGCGCACACACTTGCTCAGAACAATCTTTGCGAATTCTGATGTGGAATGCATCGAATCTTACGTGCAAAAACACGCCATTAAACCTGACAGGAAAAGTATGCAGACAAGATCAGAGAAGAATCTCGAAGTTTGTATTTCCACGTCCTTGCTAGATGCAAATCGTTCCCTCCCTGACATCAAGTTTGGTTTTAACAATTGTTTGAAAACGACATGCCGGTTCTTGGCTTAGCCGGTTGCCATTGACGAAAAACTGGAAAATTGCAGGTACGTTTTCACAGGAACATTGCAGCGTCTTCGTTGGCGGCTGACTGCAATGTTCCCCAGCGGCATACTCGAGCCAATGTCCCCCTGCTTGAAATGAAATGAGATAATGCCAACACAAACCCAGGAAATTTAACTCTTTTCCCCTGCCAGAAGAAAAATGAAGAAGGACCAGGTAAAATCGGAAGTAGAAGTTTTACATCTTTTCAGATGGTTCACACACACACACACACCCTCCCGCGGGAGGGTGGGAAATTTAAGGTCCGGACAATGAGATGAAAATGAAATTGAAAGGAAATGAAAGTGAGGTGAAGATGAAAATGAGATGAAAGTTACTTAACCAGGACGCGAAGAGGGGAACGCAAAAGAAGAGGGAAGGAGCAAACACCAACACAGGAACCTGGCCCAAAGCGGGCAAACCCTGAAAGGGCAAGGGAAAAGAAAAGCGGAGGCCGACGGACACAGAACAAGACCAGCGGAGGGGGGGAGGACGGAAGCGCCTAAACCAACCTACCACAGCGAAACCTACGCCTACCTAAGCACGCGCAGAACCCAACCTACCTGTAGAGAGGAGAACACATGAAATAGGGGACCCATGGGGGACTAGTTAATGAAATTTGAAATGATGCATCCACATGAAGTGCAATTGTCGTGATAAGGCTCAAGGCCCTCCGTATTCAAGTCAACCCCATGGACAGCCTACGTCGTCAACCCTTGAATTACGTGCACAATTGAACCTCACCAGAGTAACCAAAAGAAAGTGACCACACCTGTAAAGCATGTCCTATTGCCTGGCCAAAACATGACATGTGACAAATGAAATCAGTCTCTCTCTCGAGCATTGCTGAAAAAAGGAGATTGTTGTCGCGGCTTCAGCCTACAAACCCTTGGAAGTCTGGCAAAAATGGTGAGGCCAGTCACAGCGGTAGACTGTTTAACCAAAAGACGACCGACAGAGTGAAACCTGAAAGGTGAACGGCTGTTTCACTTTACTTAAGCGAATTACTAAATTAAGATGTGTAAATTCAGACATCGGGTCGTTGCATCCACATTCTGCTTAGAAAAGCATTCCCCGGAGGGTTCATGCCACCTTGACGAATCCAGCATGAATCACACACTTGCTCAGAACAATCTTTGCGAATTCTGATGTGGAATGCATCGAATCTTACGTGCAAAAACACGCCATTAAACCTGACAGGAAAAGTATGGAGACAAGATCAGAGAAGAATCTCGAAGTTTGTATTTCCACGTCCTTGCTAGATGCAAATCGTTCCCTCCCTGACATCAAGTTTGGTTTTAACAATTGTTTGAAAACGACATGCCGGTTCTTGACTTAGCCGGTTGCCATTGACGAAAAGCTGGAAAATTGCAGGTACGTTTTCACAGGAACATTGCAGCAATGTTCCCCAGCGGCATACTCGAGCCAATGTCCCCCTGCTTGAAATGAAATGAGATAATGCCAACGAAAATCAGGGAAGTTTAACTTTTTTCCCGTGCCAGAAGAAAAATAAAGAAGGACCAGGTAAATTCGGAAGTAGAAGTTTTACATCTTTTCAGATGGTTCACACACACACACGCAAATATATTAATATAATATATATATATGTATATGTATATATATATATATATAACTAGGGTGAAGGCTGGGGGTTCCCCGGAAGACAATTGCATTTTATTTGTATAGATATGGAAAATGTTGATTTTACAGTATGTTTTACAGTGTTTTATGCTCTTCTCTCAAATTTTTCGATCAGTAAAAGTTGCAATGTCGGCGCGGATAAACTTGACGTTTGTCCGCGCACAAAAATGATAAAGTTACATCTTCCATGGATGGCCAAAAATGTGTGCAACATCGAAACCATTGGAATTGCGGTTTCATGGATTTTTGGTCGTTTTGTTGACAACTAGAAAATGTCATAATTCACTGGAGAACCATGGGCGACATGTACATCACACCTTTTTCTTTTTCACGTACACAAAAGCTTTTTGAAGCAGTTGCTTGGAGCGAGAGCACCATTGGTCTTCTCACAGTGCAGTCGCAGTAACAACAGCTTCAACGAAGCTACATCCTCAAGGTTTCAACAGCTCTCAACCCAACGCGCTCCACATGACGTTATTACACCCTTCCCACCCCCCACCCCTCCTTAACTGTAAACAACAACGATACTTGCAACGTAACAACATCTTCAACGAAGCAACATCCTCAAGGTTTCAACAAGTCTCAATCCAACGCAGTCCACATGACGTTATGACACCCCCCCCACCCCCCCACCCCCCCATCTCTATACCATAACGACGTTTATAGTACATGACAAGACTGAGGGTTCCTGGAAGCTCCGGGGAACCCCCAGCCTTGACCCTATAACTATATTAATGTCAAGTCAGGATTAATCAACCCCGCCGGATTAATAAACCCCCGCTGCTCCCCCCCAAAAAAATGTGATTTAAAAACAGGTGGCCCCCCCGGATTAATAAACTCTTTGGCCTACCCCCGATTAATAAAACCCACAGTGCTGAAATTCATTTTTTTTAATCCAAAATTCTTTATTTCCAATTCTTTTTGTTGTTCAATGTTTTTCATCATGTTTCATCAATCTCAGACACGTGAGATTTTAGCAATCAAATCTTATGGGTTCCATGAGATTGTGACAATCACATCTTATCAAATTCAATGGGATCTTACGGGTTCCATGAGATTATGACAATCAAATCTTATCAAATCCAATGGAATCTTATGGGTTCCATGAGATTTTAAGACTCAAATCTTATTAAATCCAATGGAATCTTATGGGTTCCATGAGATTATGACAATCAAATCTTATCAAATCTCATCATATCCAAAAGTTTATGGTTCAGAGGGCGCTTATTATTAAGGGGGAACACCAGGAAAGACCTTACAAGGTCCATCTGACCTTGTTGGGGGGGGTTCTTAATCCGGTGTTGCCATTATATAATATGTACATATGTGTGTGTGTGTGATAAATATATATATATATATATACATTGTGGTTAAAATGAATAACCCATGTCGCTCAAAGCTCTGAAATTACACGTTCACCAACACTGCGAAGAAGTGTTTCGAAACTCACGTCTTTGCTGCTGAGCTGCTGTTTCTCCCTCCTTTGCTTCGAAGTGGCCCTGGAGCATCCGTTCAGCAGAGCGGATGTATAGCCCTGCCCGGCATGAGGTAACTGGTGGTCAAGACAAGTGCTTGGCTTTGGCTGATTCAAGCTGCAGCTCCCGGAAAAATGGGAAAGCATGGAAGAAAGAGATCCGAAACACAGCGAGATAAATATGGCAGAATCTAGCAGAGCATGCTGAAAGCCTTTAAACATGCAGAAATAACAACAAACATCAACAAACCCAAATCCCTTCAATGTGCAGCCCACAAGCCACAACCTGCACCCTTCTTGGCAGTCACTTTCATCTCAGTGGCGCCTGCCTCACAGTGGGTCATGGTGGCCCCCATAGAGATAGCTTAGTTTATAAACCCTATTAACATCAATCAACTATATAGTTGTTGTTCAAAACTTAACAGTGAATCCATTTATCATATCCATATATACATATGTACATATAATACATCATTACAACATATCTGTATGTATATATATCTACCATAAAGCCAACAGTTCACCAGACCAAGCCACTGGTGCCGCATCCACCGGTGCCACCGCACTGCCTTTCACCGCTGTTTGGACCATGGCCACGTGGTGCGGCCATCGGCGCAAGGCTTGACCCGTGCGGAAGTCGCGTTCCACCAGGAAATAGCAGAAACGGCCATCGATGCCTGGTGAACGCCCAGAAGATGAGGAAAAACTGAGGGAGAAACCAACTGCTGTGAAGTCGTTTTTTTTTCCCTTTGTGTGTGTAAGCGACTTCCGAATATGGATGCACACTCTTGTGCAAAATACTTCCAAAGCAGCTCAAGTTATTACAGAACTATCGTCATTTCTCACAAGTGCACTGCGAAAATGTTCCGGGTGTGACGATGATGCAAGTTTGCAGGATGGGGGATACGTGCATTTTGAAGGTTAACTTCTACTATAGTTCTGAAAGGGGTCCATCATGAGAAACACAAATGCACAACAAGAGAGAAAGGAACTGTCACAATGATGAAGCCTTGAAAACAGGGAGATCCTTGTCAAAATTACAAAGTGCTCTTTGGAGATGTTTTCCCGGTACTCTCAATGGCAGCCTCGCGCAATATATTTCAATCTTTTGAACTCGTAAAATCAATATATATATATATATATATCAAGGGTCTCAAAAAAGCCCCAAAGTCTTTGCCCAAAATGCCAAGAAAATCCAAGAAACCAATGAAATCCTTGGGATATGGCTGCGGTGACCCTGCATCTCCCTCAATCACCATGTCTCCGGCTGGTAAGGCCAGGCTCACCTGGGCACAGCATGGCACAGCTATCAAATAGAACAGCCATGGAAAGCCCAAACTTTGAAGGTTGGGAATTGGGACCAGCATGGCCATCAAATTAGCCCAGCGCAACTCTCTTCTGTCGATGCGCATCCACAACATTGTGGCACTGTGTTTTCGAGCGTCTGCCTTTGTCAAACCATCTAGAAACGGTGGGGCCCAACACTGGGATCTACACCTGCCAGCAAGGTACCGACCTGCTGATCATGTCCAGCTTCCGGATGCCATCAGCACACTGCGAAAAGGCAGTGTTGCCACGCATAAACAAAGCGGAGGGAAAGGCAAAGGAGTTGGAGGACCTTTCATCCTTCAGGATCTCTTCCTTGGGCTGTTCGAATTTGGTCATTTGAGTCACTGAAGGCAAAAGGATTTCTGAAAGGGGCAAGGGATTACTAAGAGATTTGGTGCAAGTTTGTGATATTGGGCCATATGGGTATAGATTTTGATATGATTATGACAAAATCACATGTGAAGGGTCTTGGTGCAGTGGGACGGGTTGAGCCCCACGGATCTTCAGAAGATACATGCCAAGTGTCAGAGGCAGGCTGGTAATCAGCAATAAATCATATTGCAAAGTGGTTCGTAATAAGCTACTGAACCCCCAATCATACCATCCCCAATGTACCAAACTTTCGTAATATGGGGGTGGTTAAAACATTAATTGAACATATAAAAACCATATCAAACCATATTAGATCAACACCATATATATATATTTATATATCCCCCATGTTAGATCATATTAAACACATATAAAGCCCATATTAGATCATACTAGAACATATTAAACCCGTTATCCCCCATATTACATATATAGATCATATTAAAACCATATAAAGCCCATATTAGATCATACTAGAACATATTAAACCCGTATTAAAACCATTAAAAATATCCCAAGCACCACCTCTCCGCCTCTCCGCCCCGGGCTTCCATGGGATCACCTCTATAAAGACCATGTCCCCGACCTGCCGCAACATACCACGTCCAAGTGCCATGGTCTCAATGGGAATTTTTGGGGTATACCATTGGACATACCTGATTTTGAGACCATGGTATCCTGACTTTTGGATATTTTTGGACACATTGATATTTTCATATTGAGAAAAACGCCTACTGGGAAACAAGAAAGTACATTGGGAAAAAATGACCAAAAGGCGCCACCCCGTTTCTGCCTGTCAAAAGTTTACACCCAGGCGAAGGGATAGACAGGAGGTCGCCTGTCAACTTTAACTTTTTTCTGATAATCCTAACATCTTCCGACAATGAACGAACATCGTGGAAGTTTTAAAATATGTAGTGTGAACAAAAAACTGTGGTATCTATCGGGTCAGCAGTTGTCAAACTGGCGATTTGTGCCAACACATGGCATGTCATGCATTGGCCAAGGCACAGAAAAAGAACGTCTCCTGCTGAGCAGCCAAGGCAGTGATCACAGAACCCGAATCTCTTGGACGCATGATGTATTCCTCAGTGCCAGGCGAATCTCCATCACAATTTTCAAGAACTTCATTTTGGTCCAGCTCAGTATCAAGCCTGATTCTGGGTAAAGTGTGATAATTCACTCACCTGAAAAAAGGATAAGAAAGGGATAATTCTCCTTGCGAACCATTGTTTCCGTGACGTCACAGTCGTCACGATAATCCAACCAGCTGGATCCGGTGGCTGCCTGCTCTCGCTGCTGATGAGAGTCCGGCTCCTTCACAAAGTCTTCCACCTAGCCGGCACGACAAAAATGCGATGCCTATTGTTGCCTCTGTATTGATGAACCAGAGTCGGAAAAACAGCAATTAAGGGTTGGCATATGGTGGCATTAGATGACAGATCCAATGAAGAAAAACCTTTTCTTCATAGTCTTTTTGCTCATTGGCTCGAAAAGAAATCGAACAAGTCACCTTCATAACTAAATAAGTGGCCGACCTTCTCCACACAGTTGGCATCAACAGCCGCATGGCTTCCATTGCACTTTGAGACCAACGTCATCTTTCCAGGGAACGATGGCGAGGAGAGCCGCTCCTCCGCCGCATACACCGAGCCATCCTGCTCCAAACAGGATGGGCTGCGCCCTGCATCTGCAGCCCCAGCAGCCAAATCGAACGACACCCAATATGCAGAAGATCGCTTTGATGTGGTAAACGGAGTCATAAACAACCTACCCTTGGGGGATGGTTTATGCCATCGATTTATGATTATTTTTGGGATGATTTGCTATTGAGTTTTCCACTTCATAAATCATTATAAATCATACTGAATCGCTAATCATAAGTCTTACTTGTAAGTCTAGGCAAAATGATAAGACACTCCTCATTCAGTCACGTGCTCAAATCACATCTCGTATCTTTGACCTCTGGAACTTGGGGTTTTGTCACTTGCTATAGCTAATCTATCATTCTGGAGGCCCGTTTAGTCATCATCTTTAGATCACCTCTACACACCCACACACACTGATATAGTATATGACAGGTTCATGAAAAAACAAGATGAAGCCCACGAACCCGAATGCTCACACGTATGTTAATGGTACAGATGTCAAAACACATGGTTATGCAGTCACGCACAATATCTTTCTGCAATAGTTTATATTTGAACAGTCTTGTACATGTTTCCCTTGTTACCAGTCTGCAGTGTGGGGTGGAAAGTGTAGAGTGTGGAGTGTGGAGTGTGAAGTGAAGTAAGGAGTGTGGAGTGTAAAGTGTGGAGTGGGGAGTGTAGAGTGTGTAAAGTGTAGAATGCGGAGTATAAAGTGTAGAGTGTGGAGTATGGAGTGTAAAGTGTAGAGTGTGGAGTCTGGAGTGTACAGTGTGGAGTGTAAAGTGTGGAATGAGGAGTGTAAAGTGGAAAGCGTGTAGAGTGTAAGAGTGTAGAGTGTAGAGTGTGGAGTGTAAAGTGTGGAGTGTAAAGTGTAGAGTGTGGAGTGTAAGTGTGGAGTGTGGAAGTGTGGAGTGTAAAGTGCGGAGTGAGGAGTGTAAAGTGTGGAGTGTAAAGTGTGGAGTGTGGAGTGAGGAGTGTAAAGTGTGGAGTGTGCGAGTGTGGAGTGTAAAGTGTGGAGTGAGTGGGGAGTGTAAAGTGTGGAGCGAGGAGTGTAAAGTGTGGAGTGTGGAGTGTAAAGTGTGGAGTGTGGAGTGGAGTGTAAAGTGTAGAGTGTGTGGAGTGTAAAGTGTAGTGTAAAGTGTGGAGTGTGGAGTGTAAGTGTGGAGTGTGGAGTGGAGTGTGGAGTGAGGAGTGTAAAGTGTGGAGTGTGGAGTGTGGTGTGTAAAGTGGGGAGTGTGGAGTGAGGAGTGTAAAGTGTAAAGTGTGGAGTGTAAAGTGTGGAGTGCGAAATGTGGAGTGGAAAGTGTAGAGTGTGGTGTGTAGAGTGTGGAGTGTAAAATGTGCAGTGTGGAGTGTAGAGTGTAAAGTGTAGAGTGTGGATTGTAGAGTGTAAAGTGTAGAGTGTAAAGTGTAGAGTGTGGAGTGTAAAGTGTAAAGTGACGAGTGTAAAGTGTAGAGTGTGGAGTGTGGAGTGTACAGTGTAGAGTGAGGAGTGAGGAGTGGAAAGTGTAGAGTGTAGTGTAAAGTGTGGAGTGTGGAGTGTAAAGTCTCCGGTGAGGAGTGAGGAGTGTAAAGTGCAAAGTGTAAAGTGTGGAGTGTAAAGTGTAGAGTGTGGGGTCTAAAGTGTAAATTGTGGAGTGTGGAGTGTAAAGTGTAGAGTGTGGAGTGCGGAGCTTCCTCCATAGACACGGCGACGCCACAGGAAAACCAGAGACTCGAGACGAGACACGTGGGTGCAAAAAAACGAGCATTTCGTGCGAGACTTCGTCCAATTTTGATATTTTCCACATGTTATCAAACAGGTTGGAATGTCACAAAGTGCCACGCCTGCCACGCAAAACGACACGACAACCTGCTTGGAAACATTCGAAAAGGTAAGGTTTTCCAGCTTCCCCCATAGACACGGCGACGCCACAGGACACCAGAGACTCGAAACGAGACACGTGGGTGCAAAAAAACGAGCATTTCGTGCGAGACTTCCTCCAATTTTGACATTTTCCACACGTTATCAAACAGGTTGGAATGTCAGAAACTGCCACGTCTGCCACGCAAAACGACAGGACAACCTGCGTGGAAACATTCGAAAAGGACAGGTTTGCCAGCTTCCCCCATAGACACGGCGACGCCACAGGAAAACCAGAGACTCGCGACAAAACACGTGGATGCAGAAAAAACAGCATTTCGTACGAGACTTCCTCCAATTTTCACAGTTGGCAACATGACAAAAGGACAAGTTTTGCAGCTTTCCCCATAGACACGGCGAGGCCACAGGAAAACCGAAGACGCGAGACGATATAGGTGGGAACACCAAAACGAGCATTTCGTGCGAGACTTCCTGCAATTTTCACACTTTGTAGCTGCAAAATCGACGTTTTCCTACGAGTTTTCCTTAGAACCTGAAAATTTGCAACCTCAAAATCGATGTTTCGTGCGAGGCGTCCGTCAATTTTCACCACATCGCACAAAATGCCACGCCTGCCACGGAATTTGCACCTTGTCGCCACTTGACGCAGCCCTGCCAATGCAATTTGCAAAAAACACGCAGCACGACACGTCTAAGGTGCTGCGCCTGCCACGAAAAATGACGATGGACACGTCCAAAGTGCTGCGCCTGCCACGAAAACTGCAACACATCTTCTGAAAACGTCACAAAAGTATTGCGCCTGCCACGCAAAACGACTTTCGACACGTTGCAGAACACGTCTGAATGTCACGAAGTGCCACGCCTGCCACGCGAAACGAAGCAACGACACGTCTGAAACCTCCAAAAATCACCACCTCTGCAGAACTTCCCATAGGCACGGCCATACGGAGTTCGTACGAACGGTTGCGGACGGTTGCGAACGGTTGCGACCGTGAACGCAACGTTTAGCGAACACACCCTCAACCCCCAGACCCCCAGAGTGAAACGGGAACCCTTGCTACGCATTCGGGAAGAACATCAGCAATCTTTAAAGGTCCCATCGCTTCCCACACGTTTGTAGAAAATAACTTACGGCAAATTTAGGGGGTATGGCTTAATGTTGTCTAGCCAATAGTGATCTCTTGTCAATAGTAGAAACATTTTTCCGCAACTCCAATTTTTCTCCAATACTAAAAGTCAATTAGCTCCATTTACTTTTAGTATTGCCAAAAGAGTCATGTTCAGACCTTGTCCAGAGGGCATGGCCAATAGTGGGCCCAACATGGCAATAGTGGAAACTGTTTTTCCAATTCCAATTTTTTCTCCAATACTAAAAGTCAATTAGCTCCATTTACTTTTAGTATTGCCAAAAGAGTCAAGTAAAGCAAATCCTTTTCAAAGCAGCCTTCACTTTTGATTAGCAAAAGCTTAGATTCCAGAAATCTGATCCAATTACCAAACAGCTGATTTCCTTATAAAACCCTTATTAAAAAAGCAAAAAAACAGGTCCACAAAGGGTACCCCCTTTGCAATCCCCAGAATAGCAATAACAAACCTGCACCAGGCATGGCAATAGTGGAAACTTTTTTCCGCAACTCCAATTTTGTTGTCCTCCTTCTCCTTCTCCTTCTCCTTCTCCTTCTTCTCCTTCTTCTCCTCCTCCTCGTCCTCCTCCTTCGCCTCCACGCAGATCCCATCAGAAACCAAACCAAACTCATACAGAATCTAACAGAAACCGACCCTAATCCATGCAGAACCTATGCAGAACATCTCAGAAATCCAACCAAACCCTATGCAGAATCTAACAGAAACCCAACAAAACCATGGAGAATCTATCAGATACATATCATGATCCCAGCTATAGGTTCCCAAAAATTATTATAGGAAGGTTGACCCCCCCCTTAAAAAAAAATAGGGTGGGGGGGGGGCAATTACTATTAGGCAGCCAACATTAAGGAAAATGATGTCCGTGTGAACAGGTATGCCCGAACCTTCAAAGATCAAAGGGGGTATCGATGGGTATCTCTAGTTGGGAATGTCCCATCACTTGCATCGTGTTTGTACAATTTCTCAAAACCAGTGTCCGTCCCATACATGCTTCGTATTGTCGGAGTCTTTGTGGTGGCAAACAGATTGATAACTTTCTCGTACATTATATATATATACATACATATGCATGTTATGTATGTTATGTATGTTATGTATGTTATGTATGTTATGTATGTTATGTATGTTATGTATGTTATATACAGTGCGTGTTATGTATGTTATGTATGTTATGTATGTTATGCATGTTATGCATTTCATGTATTTTAGGAATGTAATGTATGTAATGTATGTTAGGTATGTCAGGTATGTCAGGTATGTTAGGTATGTTAGGTATGTATGTATGTATGTATGTATGTATGTATGTATGTATGTATGTATGTATGTATGTATGTCTGCATGTCTGTATACGTCTGTATGTCTGCATGTGTGTCTGTCTGTATGTCTGTATGCGTGTCTGTCTGTATGTGTGTATGTGTGTATGCGTGTATGTGTGTATGTGTGTATGTGTGTGTATGTAGGTACGGACGTACGTATGTGTGTGTGTGTGTATGTGTGTGTATGTAGGTACGTACGTACGTATGTGTGTGTGTGTGTATGTGTGTGTAAATGTGTGTATGTATGTATGTATGTATGTATGTATGTATGTATGTATGTATGTATGTATGTATGTATGTATGTATGTATGTATGTATGTATGTATGTATGTGTGTATGTATGTATGTATGTAGGTAGGTAGGTAGGTAGGTAGGTAGGTACGTAGGTAGGTAGGTAGGTAGGTAGGTAGGTAGGTAGGTAGGTAGGTAGGTACGTAGGTACGTAGGTACGTAGGTACGTAGGTAGGTAGGTAGGTAGGTAGGTAAGTAGGTAGGTAGGTAGGTAGTTAGTTAGAGAGTAAACATTGGGTTGTAAGCGAAGTTACGTAAATATGCACCAAACAAATAAGAATATCTATGTAACTGTAGCCAAAACCGAAAATTACTAATTGCGGAGACTCAAGGCAAACATGTGTTTAAAGGCTGTCGTGCGCATTGTTTTTCACATGTTTTGCAGCAGCCAATCTGGCAGGTTTGGTAGCGGAGCGCTGCTTTGCAGGCTCTGTTTCACCACCGCTTCCTCCCAGCCCCAGTGCGTGAGGGCTTCCACCTCTCCCTTGACCCGGCTGACCCGGTACTGGCACGGAGTTTCTTGCGAGAGGAACTTGCACCACATGGCTGCAAGATCCGTGTCGCGCACCCTCGCCAGCAAAGTCCGCAGGTCGGAATGCTGGTGGCCCAGGCCCATAGCATTGTAAAGCTTGAAGCGCTGCCGGTCGTCATGGTCAATGACAGCAAAGCCTGGCCTATCGGACCTGCACTGAGCTTCCACGAAGAGCTCATTCTGCAATTCCACCTCTTCCTTTTTGTGCCTGACGACTACCGGCATCAAGCCGGCGTTTGCCAAGCTCATGTCTTGCACAAAGCAGAGGAAGAGGCTATGGGCCAGCTTGGAGGCTTCAACAGGGGCGCTCCAAGCACTGCTGTGCATCAGCAATGGCAAGCTGATGGTGATCTCGTTCACCTTGATGCTGATGCACATCGCATCCAAGAAGTAGTCCCGGGCACGGTATAGGGTGCCACGGGCACACTGCAGCAGTTCAGCTTGGATCATCCCTTCATCCGTGCACCTCACTGGGTAGTGCCCCTTCAAATCTGGGAGATGCGTCGTCTTGTGCTCCACATCTTCAGAGCACTGAACACGCTCAGCAAAAGATTTTGGATGAGCAAACAAGGACTGAAAAGGCGGAGTTGCGTCTCCTTTGCTGGGGGCCATTGGCGAAAAGCTTCCCATCTGCTCCAGTGTGGCCTGCAATGAAGCTGACCATGAATGCCAAGGAAGGTCCACCATAGTGTTTTTCCAAACTCTTGAGGTGTACACGTTTGACGGCCACGCCCAAGAGTCTGAAATTTTGTAATGGTGCTCTACCCCTAAATCCTGCCAAACCGTCTTGCAGTAGGTGATGAACCGCAGCCACTTCTCCACCTTCTGCCTCTGGCTTTCGTGCATCTGAACGGTTTCCTTGCCCAAGCACTCTAGCAGAACGTAGCATCGCAGAGAAGCCCGGGTCAAGGAAATGTATCGCCAAGAGGAGCTGAGAAGGTGGGTCCCAGCATATGTGGCATCCTTGTCTGATCGCCTAGGCAAATAGAGAAAAGCAATTCGCGCTTCAGACCCACCGGCGGCGTTTGGCAAAAAGAATTGGACACTGTGGATGATGCTGAGCGCAGCCTCAGTCACATCCAGGCAGGTAGGTATGTATGTATTAATGTAATGTAATGTAATGTAGTGTAGTGTAATGTAATGTAGTGTAGTGTAATGTAATGTAATGAAATGTATGTAGGTAGGTATGTATGTAATGTATGTAATCTATGTACTCTATGTAATCTATGTAATCTATGTAATCTATGTAATGTAATGTAATGCGATGTGATGTAATCCAATGTAATCCAATGTAAATAATGTAATGTAATGCAATGCAATGCAATGCAATGTATGTATGTATGTGTGTATGCTAGCATATGCTAGCATGAAATTTGGGCCCAAGCGAAAAATACGTAAGGAATCCAGGGGTATGGAATGGGTTGGAGGGTATGAGCGTGGCAGCATCATCTTTGGCCTTTCAACCCAAATATATTTTTGGGTGAAGCAAGTAAAGAAAACGGAGAAAATAAAGGTTATAACACGTATGCCGAGACTTCAAGCACATAATGTGACTAGATGGTGTTGATGATTTGGCCACGTTTTGATTTGCTCTTGGTGTTGTTTTTCATCATACTGCGAGCTTGTTACGATGGCAGCACTCCAAACAACTCTCACCATGCAAAACCTGACAAATAAGGTGGCAGTGTTGTTTTATAGTGTTGTGGACGAGAAACATGATACATATATAAAAGATGGTGGGCCCCTGTAAAACTGAAGACAAGGCTGCACTCAAACGAGGCACGAACAGCTTCAATTGCATCATATCCAGGTCAAGATCTTGTGAAACCTGGAACAACGTGGAACAACAAAAGCATGTCAATCCCCAAGCTCCTTGTCTGCCAGAATAACCTTCTGCCCATCTACTGCACAAAGACACCATCGAGAATCATCCACCTCTCGTGATTCTTTGGTGTCGCAGTTGACAATCAGAAGCTTAGTCTTGGACACGATCAGCACGTGCTTCTCAGTAGCAAGTGCAGGGCATTTCTTGCCTCAAAACACCGATGATGCCAATGGATCAGTCTGGTGGCTGGATGTGGATAGCTAAAAACTCTTCCAACAAAGCTTGGCCGCGGTCATCCGCGGTCCATGTCTATGCCGCATATGCCTCACCTAAACAGAGCCTAGGATGCCTAGGTCTCTGTAATGTGCCACTGAATGATGTCCATCCCTCCATATCCCTCCCCTCCCTCAGCCCATGCACCTTGCCCTGGCGTAAAGAAGGGCTCCAGGGATTGTGCAGCGGGAACTGCGACGATCTCGCCATCTTTGGGCGACTCCGCTGATATCATCATCAACTGCTGTCCTGGGTGCCATGTTGTTGCTGATGATGATCAACATGATATGAGTCATGAGGGATTGTCATTCTCTGAAAGGGGAAGTTGTTCATTATAGTCACAAGCATTCAAGATTTATCCTGATATATCTTGATATATAATACAGATACATGCACATGATCAGCCAAATGGTCGCATGATGTAATTCGCATTCTTTGCACCAACAAAACATCGAACACGGATGACGATACCTCGGCCAAGTAGCCCACCAGCACATAGACCACCCCAGTCTCTGGATCCACTGCTGCGGCCAGCGGATCTCGAAGGTTGTGAGTGTCATAGGTTTCCACCTCTCTACAAACCCCAGTCTGAAGCGACATGAACGCGAAGGCTGTGAGCGGATGAAACCTTTTAGGTGGAGATATGTTTGAATCGGATCGACATGTTTTGGTATCAAGTTTCCAACATTTCTGCATTGGTTACAGTAAAATGTCATTCCAAATCAGAACATATCAGGTCATGTCGATATCGTGTCCTTTTGGTTGGCGTTCGCTTGGTTGACATGTTGTTCCGATGACTTTTGACGCTCCTGATAATTTGTGGGTCAATCAGGATCATCTCAGTGAAAAGGACATGTCAAAACTGAGAGCACCAACTTGTTCTATATCCCAACAATCACATCCATCAGCCTGTCACTTGCGATCCTTGGATAATGATTCCACATATTGTCTGAAACAAAGGATGCTCAGAAATCCCATGATACATATGAATACATCATATTTTCATCCTCTCAAGTTGCTTCAACCCCCCTTGGGGACCATTTTAGAACCCAAATATGGGTTCTAAAATGGAATCTACAAGGGGGGTCTTAGAACCTAAAATTGTTGGCCACTATTCCGTTTTTGGGTTCTAAAATGGTATCTTCCACCTTTAAAAAAATCATTAAAAATCATCCAAAACTTTATATACTCGATTATGCACTGAAAAAAAACTGGAGATGGTTTGAAGCACAAAAACATGAGTCACAAAAAAGGGGCGTGAGGTAATCCATGGACATGGGGCTGGATCCTTCTGTTTAATTCTGTTCAGAAGTTGGGTAGGTGTGAAGGCTGTGGCACTGAAGAAGACAGAGCTTGAAGGCCATTTGCGCGCCTAGTTAGGGTCTGGGTTCTGGTGTGGTTTGATTGACCAGTGACTTTCACGAGCTACATTCCACCATTCCTGAACAAAAAATGAGAAAGGTATTTGTTTGGGCAAATGTTTCCACCTTGGTGCCGTTTTCAATTTTGAATCCAATCAAGGTGTCCCTCAGCCTGGATGTTCTGAAATGGTTTCCATCAGAGTTTTGAGGGGTTTGTGACCTCCAACTTGGGTGTAAACCATTTTGGAACCCTGTTTTGTGTTAGGGGTTGGAAAGGGATAAGAGGGTTCAAAAGTGTAATTCCTCAACGATATTTGTCCAATTCTTTCCCCACAAAACTATTCAAAAAACAACCCAAAATCATACACTGGAAAGATGGTAAATGATTTTTTCCTTTCATTTTCATCCATTTTCAACTTTGGATCCAATCAAGGGATGTTCTGAAATGGTTTCCATCAGGCTTTTCTGGGGTTTGTGACCTCCAACATGTGTGTAAACCATTTTAGAACCCTGTTATGTGTTAGGGGTTGGAAAGGGGTAAGAGGGTTCAAAAGTGTAATTCCTCAAAGATATTTGTCCAATTCTTTTCCCACAAAATTATACCAAAAAAAAACATCCCAAAATCATACACTGGAAAGATGGTAAATGATTTTATCTTTGTTTCATTTTCATCCATGTTCAACTTTGGATCCAATCAAGGGATGTTCTGAAATGGTTTCCATCAGGGTTTTCTGGGGTTTGTGACCTCCAACATGTGTGTAAACCATTTTAGAACCCTGTTATGTGTTAGGGGTTGGAAACGCGTAAGAGGGTTCAAAAGTTTATGATATTTCAGCATTTGTCTATAATACCAACAGTTTGTTTGGAAACACATTGATCTGGAATGTCCCTTTTTTTTTCTGGTGGAGAGGAGGGAAGGGTTCTAGAATGGTTTCCTTCATGTACCAACGTGTGATTCAACATCTGTGGCTCATGGATTCCATTTCAGAACACATAGATGTAGTTCTATACACAGAAGGTCAAATAAAATCAAATAAGGCCTTAACAACGTTGCAGAAATACAGCTATTTAGTTTTTCTTTTTGATATTTCAGCATTTGTCTATAATACCAACAGTTGGTTTGGAAACACATTGATCTGGAATGTCTCATTTTTTTCTGGTGGAGAGGAGGGAAGGGTTCTAGAATGGTTTCCTTCATGTACCAACGTGTGATTCAACATCTGTGGCTCATGGATTCCATTTCAGAACACATAGATGTAGCTCTATACACAGAAGGTCAAATAAAATCAAATAAGGCCTTAACAACGTTGCAGAGAAATACAACTATTTAGTTTTTCTTTATGATATTTCAGCATTTGTCTATAATACCAACAGTTTGTTTGGAAACACATTGATCTGGAATGTCCCATTTTTTTCTGGTGGAGAGGAGGGAAGGGTTCTAGAATGGTTTCCTTCATGTACCAAAGTGTGATTCAACATCTGTGGCCCATGGATTCCATTTCAGAACACATGGTTTTAGTGCTACACTACCTTTAGCCAAGGGAGACCGTTCAACACTATTTCAAGCATAAACATAGTCGCGAGATATATACTTTTTCATTTTTTTAAAGGGCCGACCTCCCTGTATGCTATGACTGGTGTTTCCCTACATTAAGTCCTGCAGTAGTGACATCAACGGTCAGATTGCCCATTGGCAGGACGCATTGAAAGCTTTGATCAGTCTGAACAAGGAGCACCAACAGGAAGTGGAGGCAACGAAGAAACGTAGAGTGACGACAGTCAAACTCATCCAGCCGACAATCGAAAACTTTCGGCGAAACAAAAAAGGTCAAAAACTGATTGCACAGGAGCTGTCACGCCTCTTGACAGGGGTAAAGGCAAAGGGTTAGATACTTTATGTGCATATCCCCTTAATTTCAAAATTATGCCTCGTTAATTCGGGGTGACGTCGTGACGTCGAATTAAATCGTACAGATACATCATCATATGGTATTATAATATATTAAAAAAAAATTAAAAAATATATATAAATATATTATACTGTATTATACAAGCTTCCAGGGTTCTACAATGCTTACGGGACCGGGGGTTCTACAATGAAAAAAAATCATTCTAGAACCCTCCGTGTTTATACCCAGGGGGGGGCATTCTAGAACCTTCCAACTTGAGGGTATATATTTTCTGTTTAAAAAGATCATGGTTTATAGATTTCATAGTCATTTTCGAATCATGGTAACTATAATTTTCTCATAGAATTTGATTTACCCATTAAAATGGGTGGATTTTCCACAGTTAAACGTAAACGTTTACCAGAGGGTCAACCTCCATTTTCCTATGGTTTTCCTATGGTTTTCCTATGGTTTTGCCCATCATCCCCCCATGTTGGACCAAGCCCCGGTACTTAAAACGGCGCCTCTGAGCCGCTTGAAGCGGGGCTCCACATGGCTCAGTGATGCTCCGTGGATCAATGGATTCACTACAACTATCACTGAGGCTATAACCACTAGGCTATAACATACCTATAATAAGTATCATATATATAATATATATAATATATATATATTGATAAATAATTTATATTTATATATATATATATCATATGATATTATAAAATATAACTATATGACTATATGGAATACGATTGTTGGTGAAAAAACTGCTGGGAATGACACAATGATTCCAATGTTGGGGTACCACTACAATTCATGAACTTAGGCTAACTTAGGATAGGCAAGTCAGGACACCTCCGGTGACGAATCGGCGCAGCTCATGTTCGTTCGCTCCTGGTCATGCTGTTGTCTGATTGTGAGGGGAAACAGGTGCTTGAATCCATGCCTTTGATCAAGCTACCTTGAAAAGCCTAGCAGACTGTAGCCAACAGCTGCAGTGATTTTGGAGAAAGACACTCCCTCACACCTCCGAGCACACTCCAAATTTCCTCGCACACTGCTACGAGGATTTCTATGGTAATGGAGAACTCACGGAAATTCACGGAACTCCAATGCAAATTTGCCAAAATCAGACTGTCAACCACCATCAGGCCCACTGCATGCAGATCTGAGACCCAAGCGATCCAGGTTTTCTCCTGAATCAGGTGCGGCCTCTTTCCCAGGTTTGGGATTCCCCCGCAAAGTTGAACAAAAACCGATTTCATACGAAAGGAACACTGGAACAAATCTGATCATATCTGTGGTTGCGTTGGCATTTACTTTGGCTTCCAGGTGGATCATCTGAGATACAGTAGCTTCATCACATATCATCACATTCCATCCCCCTTTTCTGCGCCACTGCCACCTTTCTCTCCGAAGTACTTGCTGCTCCGATATCCGGCCTGTCATGTCGCAGTTTGCGAAGGAAGCATGCCAGAGATGCCAACTGCGAGTCGGAAATGTCGGAAAACAGTGCTAACGAATGTGATTGTTACGTGCATACGGCATTCTGTTGATATCCACCCGCATGACCCTGTTGAATTGTCACCAGCTCGGAATTTCTGAATGAACCCGACGATGGAAAACAATGGACATGGGATGATCAACCAAGACAGCCACACCCTCATCTCTGGATCTAATGCCTCGATTGGAAGCTCTGCTGCCGTTTTTTGTTTCGCCATGGATGGCCATGGATGGCCATGGTGGAACAACATCGCTGGCTGATTCGCATCACCCGAGTCCCGCGCATCTCCAATGTTCCGTCTGCCACCACCACTATATCTGCAGGGGCCTGAAAACATACATCACGGGGCATAGGGGCCTCGTAAAGGGAGAATCATGGGTCAGGTATGATGGTCAGGCACCTTTCACCCCAAGTCACATGTGATTCTTCAAACCCATGAGAAGGATCACTGCAACAGCATCAAACCTACAATATGCACAGGGCAAACCCGGACCAACAATGCAAAGGTGTTTATAAAGTTTGTGTCGCCAATATCATTCAATCTGGGAATCCGTGTGTGCTGTGGGCCCATGTGATTCCATACCGGAGTTGAGGAGTATAGATAAATCCATCCGAAGCCACCTGCCCGTTTTTCCACCCAGCAGCAACCATATCGCTTCCAGGTGTGTGAGACAAAGCCCGCTCATCATGGTTGGAAGCAGCAAGCAGGGGCCATGCTCTAGAACAATGGATGGCGCCAAGTAGCTTGCCACTGTGGGCTCACAACATCTTGCCTGGGATCTGTCGATGCACAAAGGGTCATGGGCCATCCATATCATGCCATATCATGCCCATGTTGACCCAAGCATGGATATCTTGGTGCAACTCATGTGGGTGCACCATGGGGCAGCCACAAAATTGCAATCTGATGGGGAATGTGATGATAGACCAATCTAAATTTTCAGACAAGCCCAGGTCACAATAAATATCCAAAACATTTCAAAACCACAACCTTCCCACATTTCACACACGTCCCACACCAGCACCAAACTCCTGAGTCGTCTCGAAGACCTTTCCTTTTCCGCGCTTCTGCTGCGACCTGGGCATGGCACGCCACGATGACAACGGTGCAAACCGCATAATTACCACTTGGGCGTGTCTGAAACGTGGGCGACCCCCTAGATTACCAATCTTTTGTGGATTTTGATGGCCTCGTTTACGACTGGAACCTTCCAAGACCCTGCCTTCCCCATTCTTGGACATTATGAATTACCTTATTGGAAGAACAAGTCGCACAGACCCTGGCGAATCTGCCGACACCCTCCAGAGCATCCCTGACCCAGCGGCCTTTTCTCGGTTCGCCCAATCTTTGCAGGTGGCCCTGTCCAGGCATGGATTGCCTCCAGCTGGGCCAGCTGGGAGATTCCACCACTTGAGATTTTGCGGTACCCTGCCCTAGGATCCCTAGGGAAACAGCGAGGCAAGACATTTGCCATGCCCTACAGCATGCTGCTAGTCGTTGCGGCCTAGGCGTGGATTATGCCTGAATTATCCCTGAATTTTGTTTCTGTTTCACCAGCTGAGGTCGAGATGAAAAGTGATGAAACATGGCTGTGAGACCCTGAACATTCATGAAACGATCAACTTCCAAACATAGCTCGAACATGTCCTGCAGCGCCGGGCTGCACCTTCCAAGCACGAGCACGACTCATTCTTGAACATTCCTTTGCGGTCCAAATGGAGGGCTCATGGGCTTGCAAAGGACAATGAAATTGGCTGGCCTTCGAATTGTCTGCTCTCCGTCGAGAAGCCCTATATAAATCTATGTAAGGGTTCGGAGGTGGACAGGTGCCTTTGCAAGGGTTGGAAGTAACCAATAATTGTCCATGATGCCACTTCTCAGCACTTCCAATCATCGTTTAATATCAGCTGTTCTTCAAGCAATAATAACTTCAGTATTCAAAGATTCCCAGTCAATAACCACATCGAAGGGCCCATGGGAAGACCCTGAGCGCTTCTCAGCACCCAAAAGCAAAACAAACCAATTCAAAAGACTGCAGATTATGCCGTTGCCGGTGACGAAAAAAATCTGATGTATTCTGCTTACCTGATCGTGGTGTTTGTGACAGGAGTGTGTATGTGGCAATACATATAAATGTATATATATATATGTACACATTATATGCATATGATATGATATAGATATAAATATCTTACATGTTTACTGCGTTATATATATTATATAATATATACATATTGTGTGTGTGATATCAGTTTAGTTCAAGACTGCTCCCAGTCCAGGTATGTTGGAGCCAATCCCGTTCCCGACCATCTTTCATCCACAGCACCATCCACAGCGGTGACATCCTTCTCCTTCAAAGCGTCCGCTGAGTACGTGGCATCTGCTCCTTTGGCCCTTGGTGCGGGTGCCCGTTACAAGGGACTGTTGGTCCATGTTGGTCCTGCAAGTCTGAGGTAACTCAGTGTGAAGTGGAGCAGAATGGTGAGAACAGTACAGACTCAGATACTGCAGACAACTGTGCTCTAGAACCGCCTACCGCATTCGGCACTACGTGATGCTCAGCGAGTGGCACATACTTCTTGCGGGACTGGTTGTCCAGCCTTCGTTGCCATGCCCGACATATAATTTTCGGTTCAGCTCAGAACAAGTTCCCACCAAGAAGGGGTGCATCCATTGCAAAACTTGGACCTTTGCTTGGTTGCAAGATGTTGCAAGTATGTACTGGTATCTACAAATACTTGACACGGACTTCTGCCATTTTAGGGATCGGATGGCACACACAAATGTGCTAAAAAACAAAGGAAGCATCGGCATCAGCTTCAGTGGCTTCAGGATCAATTGAGCCAAGAAACCATGTCAGATTTGGAAAAAACTTAGCAATTTTCTTTGCATAGCCCGGCTTTTCAGCCACTTCATTCTCTCCTCAGCGTGATTGTACTGGCCCTCTAGAGTGACGCATCCTTTGAGACTTCAAAAATGACGTCCATCATCTTCCATGAGAATTGCAGCAATCGCGCTGCTCCCAACAATACAACTCATCGCCCAGCGGCTGAAGTCCAGCTCCAGAAGGCCTTTGCACTTCTTGGCCAAGATTTCCAACTCTTCCAGTTCCTCAATGGCCTTGGGGATCATCGGGATGGAACATCCAAATTTCTGACTGGAGAGGAATTCAGCCGGCCAAAGTCATGAAATCTCAATTTGGACCTATCTTGACCTCAAGTCTCTCAGTTGAATTTCCATTCCCATAGCTTAAAAAACATGGAACATCCCCATCACCTGGGCACCGGGCATTGTCATTTACTTCCTGGGCGAGATTCGGACGGGCTGCGATGACATGGCGGGCTATGGCGTGCTTACCATCTCTGAGAAAAACGGATTGGATGCTATGATTGGATGAATCTACAAACTGAATTGACTATATAATTAGTGTAGGACTTCGAAGCAAAGTCCTAAAAATACATTCCCAAACCAAAACTGAGTCCTAACTATAATTTCTTGTGTTCAAACTCAATCATAGAACGCGGCAAGCACGCACCAAAAAAGACTTACCAATGATTTACCCAAACTTATCACTTGGGGGGTCATTGTAAGACTGACATACCGACATACCCAAAATTATCCAAAAAACCTGCACACATCCCACTCCAATTGATTTGAGGTGGTTCCCCCAATCAGAGTGAAGTAAGGTCATTTTATGTCATTTTGCTCCAATGATTCACAGTGAATTCACAGCCCAGCATCCAACGTCTTCAGACTAGGCAGCTCCTCCCAGTCTTCGAAGCTGCAAAGGCTGCAGCCCTCCGCCACCAGCCGCCGGAGCTTCGACAGCTCCGCCAGCGCCTGCCATGCACCGGCCACTGAAGGCAGCTCGATGAAACTGACGTCCAGCACCAGCAGCCTGTGAAGGGGGTGCTGGTGGCATGTGAATTTCTGGGGGTGGTGTCTGACATTTACAAGATTCTACAAGAATCTGAAGCGTTTTGGTTTCGTTCCCCTTACCGGGGGCTGTGTCAGTCTGCTCAAACAGCTTTCCATGCACGAAGCCATGTTTGGCAAAAATAACCCGCCCCAAAAAAAACAGGTAAAATGCCAAGTCAAGAGCTCTGCACTTTGGCAGGAGATGGTTGCAGCGTATCCAAGGGCGGAGACAAACAAATCGCACAGCTGGTGGTTTCAACATGTTTCAATATGTTTCAACCTGTCCAGCCAGTGGAATTGTCCCATGGAACACCTTGGAAAGGCGCTGCTCAAGCCATTCAAGGACTCCATCGGATTCATGCCGAGGTTCAAATGCCTTAACCACCTCGGCCGTATCTCCACGGTCAAGTTGGCTGGTGAGATGATCATTCCATGCGCCGAAAAACGCAGTGGGGATGTTCGGGTAACAAGTTCAAAACATCTGAATCGACAGAGTCCTTGGACCTCGGATGCCCGCATTGTCAATTTTTGAACCATCACTGGCAACATCCCGCACCCAACATGTTAGTTCCATCGGCACTGTTGAAGTCAAAGTTGATTCAAGACAAAAACCAACTTTGAATTTACAGAGGTCTTGGTGAACTAACTGTTGTGCCAAACATCATGTTTTCCCTTGCTACCCTGCAGCAAACTAACATAGACATGGAAAGTCCACCATTGCAGATCATTTTGAAGGGAAACCACAATGGATTTCCATAGTTTATATATGTTTCTCTCTCGGTGTGTTTTTAGTTCGGCAAATGCCCAGGGCATCCCAGGGCCATGCGGCCATGCTCCCTTGGTTTCAGCCAAGTCACATGGGTCCCCCCAAAGCCTCCACCGAGGTCAGCTGGTTCTCAGAGAAATCAGCAGCCACCAGCCATCGACGCCTCAGCAACTGGGGCCCTACAAAACTGACCCGGCCTGGTAAACGTTTACATAACTATGGAAAATCACCATGTTTAATGGGAAAATTCATGAAAATTCACTACTTCGACTGGGCCATTTTCAATAGCTATGTTAAATTACCAGAGGGTAAAGGTGAAATGGAACATTGGATACTTACCATATCTTACCATCTGGTAATCAAACATGGCAATAGAAAGGGGGGAAGGGAGTGGTTAAACCATCCGTGAAGAAAAGTGTCAAAGGATTATGTATAGAAATAACAGCATCTGGCAAATGCTTTGACCCCTCCGATTTCTGGCGCCACACCCAAAAATGGAATCCGCTTGAACAAGATGCAACATGTCCTTAAATGATACCATGAACCTTTTAGCAGCCTGCTTGCCTTATGACTTCACTAGAGTACCCCAAGTTTCATAGACACCTAACCAGTTTCCCAATGAAAATCACCACAAATTGAGACGAGAAACTGGTCATCCTTCGGCTGAAATTTCTGCATCTCTGTGTCTTTGGCGTTCAGCTGACAAGCTGCAGCTGCTTCATTTTCCGCCTGAACACGGAATGGCCATTTATAGTGGATTTACCCATTGAAAATGGTGATTTTCAATAGCTATGTTAAATTACCAGAGGGTATGTGGATCTCCAAGGTTTCAGATCAACTTCAGCTGCTTTCCAGATATATCCAGACATTCGATAGTCCAAAGCCTGGGCGACATATTCACACCCTGCAAGTCTATCTCAAAGATGGACTGCAATTTTCCCCCGCACACACACACACATATATATATATATATTGTATATAGTACATATTCCATATATATATATTGTATATATATATATTATATATAATATATATATATATATATTATAATTTATAGACATTGATAAGCTACGAGTGCTGGACCTTTCGCACCCCTTTTGACATGAAGTCACCCCACTGCAAGGCACAACGCGAAAAATAAAGTCACCCCACGAAATCCAGAAGTCACCCCACCATTGGCAAATCACCATGGCACAACATGCCCAAAAGTTTAATCAAACTTTGTGATATCGGTCTAGAATCTCGTCGTGCCTTTGCCTGTACATGAGTTCTCATGAGTCTCTCATGGCTCACTGGTTGCCTTCGGAGCGATTTTCTGGGACCCCCACCTCGATGACCTCCCAGTCCTCTTCTTTGATCCGAGCCATGGCAAGCTCATCTGACACCTCTCGATATGGTGGACGTGTCAAGTTACCATCTGGTTATTTAACATAGCCATGGACAATCACCATTTTTTATAAGTAAACCATCTATAAATGGGCCATTTTCCATGGCTATGTATGGTATATTTACCTACATGACTGGGTGATAAAAATGGGCAAATGTAGGTAAATATATGTAAATATATCATACATGGAGCACATGGGCATTGCAAGAATGAGATTGTTGGAGACCAAACAGTCGGAAATCTGATTCCATCATCAAGAGCAATATAATCAATATATCATCAGATCCAGCATATTTTTCACATTGAATCAGATCAAGTCGTACCAAAAGACTACAATCTAAGATGCGCACGTGCGCAAGTTACAAAAAGTATCAAAAAGTTACAACTTCCAACTCAGCAAGCCAGCTTTTTTAAGATCTTGTAACCAATCCAAGCGAGTTCGCCCCCAGCTCGTCGCTGCCAGCGTTGCCTCGGCCCAAGGATCAGCAATGGTGGCCAAATCCACCGTGGATTCCTTGGACCTGTCAGCTGATGAATTTCCCATGGGTTGGAAGTGGCCCCGGTCATGGGGAAACCCATCTTTTTTTGGGGAAAAAACCCTCCGGAATGTCGAACAGTTCGAAGCGGGAAACCCGATCATTTTCGGAACGGGGTTTCCCATGGTTTCCCATCTATGTCACTACAAAACCCAGGACATACCCAGATACCCAGGGTATAAAATGGCAGGCTTGGAGTTGCAGCATCATACAGCATCGACATCGTGCGCCAATGGCAACCCCTAAGATGCCTTCCCACCAAACACATGGAGAACCAATCGAAATCATTCAAAATCACCATAGATGTTTCATGATGTTTCTTTCACTGAGCGAAACGGGATGACACAATATGAAACAGGGAAAATCCTTCTGAATATCCATGAATTTCCGAAGTGAAACTGCAACTCGGTGAGAATCGCCAAGTGTTGACCCCAAAATCCCCCACGTGACCTGCTGGGCACCACCAGCTGTGTGTCATCCACAGGCTCCGCAGCCACGGTTTGGGCGTCTACTGGCTCCACCGAGTGGGATTCTGGTTCAGTCCTGCGTGGATCAGTTACCCTCTGGTAAACGTTTACATAACTATGGAAAATCACCATGTTTAATGGGAAAATTCACTATTTCGACTGGGCCATTTTCATAGCTATGTTAAATTACCAGAGGGTATCATTGAATATCAATGTCATGGATGGCCCATGGCTGATCTTGGACAAGATGTGACATACTCACAGGAAAATGACCACTCTTTTTGACAAGACTCTAACAAGACTTAATAGTAATGAACAGTGGATGGTTGCACAATGTTGCACATGTGAACATGGGCCATGCACGGCGATGCATCACCCCTAAATCGCTGGGTGTAGCCGTCTATCCGACGGCCAGAGACGCGCTGTGAGAGACCAAGGCACTTCAGCCCACGCCAACCGCAAGGTATGAACATGAACCAAATGAAGGAATACTCAAAATGTATCATTGTGTCAATTTATAGCAGCATAATTTATGTGCAATATTATACAATTTATTTATCTATTTATCTATCACCGAGGAGAAATGCCTCGACTACCCTCCCGCACTCCTGGGTTCAGGCGTTGCAGCCACCTGGAGTGGTACCCAACCCTGATTTGACGATGGCATCATCCTTTGGGCACCAGGAACCATGGGACCTCTTAAGGACGCGCTTCAGTTGTTTGGGGTTCCCAATTTCAACAAGCCATGGTTCTATCATGGTTTTGTCACTTTTGTCATCATTTTCCCCTATGCCAACATGGCATAAAATGATATAAAATGGCCCTGCAATGTATGAAACTGCGGTATCCCGTACCAGCCTCGCGCTGCTGCCGCACCGCCGCCGTCCCCGAGCCTGCGGCTGGGGTGGCTGGCAACTCGGAGGGCTCGGAGGGCTCGGAGGGCTCGGAGGGCGTGGCTGTTGGCGCAGGCTTTGAGGGCTCGGCTGCCTGTGGACTACAGCGACTACAGGATGAGCCGAGCATCGCATGGGTACCATATGGATCCATATGGTATGACACTGCCATTACTGCCATTGGTTTGACACAGATGACCGAAACATGTGTGATTCCAGACGTTCATTATGATTCCAACTCTTGGCAAGAACAGGGTACCAGTAGGTTGGCCTTCTTTGGAGCAGCCTTCACCAGAAAGGGGCGATGCCAAATCAAGGGATTTTAGGGGTGCCCCTGTTTTTGGACAAACGTTTTCAATGTGCACCAAACTATGACTATTCAGCGCATGTCCACCAATACGGCTGTGCATCTCATCGCTGCTTTTTTTGAACACATTGATAGAGAATCAGATCCAGCCTTCGCTTTGGCATCTGCTTTTGCTTTTGCACCTGCCTTTGCCTGTGTGTCTGCTCAGTATCTCATCAATCTCATCATCCATGGAGTTGCCCGGGACAAGTGCTGCATCTAGTCAGCTATGTTGTGAGTGCCCTGGTAAGAAGAGTGGCATATATGCGCCACCATGGCTTCAAATCACAATGCAAATAAATATCTTACAAATCCTCAGCCTGATCATTTTCTATCCAGTCTAACAACTGGTTCTGTCGCAAGTTTTGCTCCGACACAAACATCCCGGACGTCTTGTAGCTTCCTCACAGCACAGCACAGAGTTTCCCACATGTCAGCTCCACCCAGCCTTCCCTTTGGGTGGCATGGCACGCAAATCAGCCCATGACGAATCAAGTCAGTTGTGGGTGCGGCACCCTATTTCTCTCTTGGATTTTAGGGGAGCTCACTATGACTGACAGGATATAGACATACCCTGCAAGCTCGTCACTGAGGCATACAGGATAAGCTCTGCTATGGTCATCTTGGGGTTGTTCATGACTAGTCACGGGTCACGGCAATTCAAATGTGCTACTGCGAAAGGCCCTTGAGCCTAGGGACGACCGGACTAGACCAGACAGGTTTGTTGCTGTGTTGTGTGTCATTGATGTACGGTCAAAGCAAGATCAATGCCTCCCTTTGGAACTGGAAGTAAGCTGTGAGTCTGTCGTCACTTCAGCCTGAAAATCAAAGATGCACCCATGCCCATCTAACATATTATAAAAATCATAGAATATCATAGAATCATAGAACAATGATGAACAAGTCATAATCAAACTATGATCAGTACTTGCCAGAAGCGCAACCTCATCTTTAGGGTGGGGTCATGACCCGCAACATCCCGCAACCCCCAAAAAAAGACCGGCCCGCAACCCACGGATACCCACGGCCTATGGGGCGCCCAGATCTGAGCCTCAAAAGCTCCGGCCAAAAGAATTTTGGGCTGCACCATGTTGGGATATGTTGGGATTACCGTACGGTTACCTGGAAATACACCTTTGAAAAAAATATAATTATGTAGATAAATTTTGGCATTAATGGTATAAAATCATGATAAATTATGGATGTTAAAGTGAGGTTCATACCGACCCAAGTTTGCCTGGAAAAGTGTTGCCGGTGCACAGCATTTCGCATCTCTGGAGATTCCAAATGGCCCCCATGGGGCCATTTCTTCTTGGATTCACCCTCCACATGGATTTGTCTGGTGGTGTTTAACCTCCAAATAACATTTTTTAGGTAGAGAAAATGATGATCAACCAGAGAATGGAATGGGGAAGATACTCATGGATACTTTATTTTTAGACAAAACGCTATCAGACAAAACTATCAGCCGCTCACCCCCATAGGTCCGTAGGTCCCCTGCCAAGGTCCCCCAGGATCCCGACTCGGACAACTTCATACTAACCAGGGCGGACGGCTTATTGGAGGCTGACAGATGTTCATCCAAGTCCTAGTGACGAAACAGGACGAAATGTTTCACCGTGAAAACCCACTCCACAGGTTGGCCAACTTCCCCAGAAACCATTAGTTTTAGGGTATATTGGCAGTATATGATCTTATCAGCTTTTATATGGTTTTATCATCTTCAGACTTTTCATCAAGTCAATCAAACCAAACATGCTTCACTTCAAGTAACTTCCGAGTGAAAACAAATACTGGCTGGGAAAGGAGAATCCTGGAAGTCACGCACCAAATCGCAGCCCAAACGACTTCTGTCTTGAAACACCTCAGGAAACATTGGGACAGCGGAGACTGTGCAGACTAAACATTGGATTAAACATGATTTACACTCTGGTTAAACATTAATTTCCACCATGTTCAACATTGGATTCATCTATTCTCAGTGAAAAAACATTGCAGACTAGTTCGATCATCCCATGATATCCCATGGTTTGGTTCCCTGGGAGCCCCGAACACTCGCCAAACGAGCAGCAGCCGCATCGTCCAGGAAGTGCCTCGGGATCCCAACGGCATCCGGCTTCGCATAGGAATTCAATGACGTTCAATGACATTCCCATAGGATCCATGGTGCTGGTATATATGGTAACATTTACCATCAATATATCCCCAATGTTAGCATATATACCATACATGGATGCTATGACATTCATAAAGCCGCCAAAACTATTTGCAGAATATATTTCAGAATCACCTTGTGACATTGTGGTTGTTTCTGTCAATCGTTTGCTGGTCAGGCCAGGAGTGTCATGATGTGCTCCATGCAGTGATCAACGGTCAAGAGAGTTGGGCTTTGTGGCAAAGGACCTCCAATAATTCCCTAATTAAAAATATATCACAGCTGGGCTGACTATCTATATAAGTCTGCCTTCAATTTACTTTATCCATCTTCATGCCTATTCAGTGATTGTCACCCACAACCCCGGCAAAACACGTTGAAATTACTCAAATCTTTATGCGGACAAAACTCCACTGCTACCCGAACAAAGCATGATTTCATACCCGCAACTGTTTGTCATAAATAATACTATTTTTTGGGGATGGGTTGTATCACATAGATTTTTGAACATCTCTTTTTGAAGATTGCACCCCAACCTGCGGCGATGAAATCGCAATGTTTGCTAGTTCTGCACCAAAATTACTTCATCGGTGTTGGGTAAATACTGTTAAATAGTATAAAATCCCCAAAATGTTGGACCAATGTTGGATGAGATTGAAGAAAATTATAGAAAATCCATCCCACAGAGCCGCCAGCGAGCCGAAAAAATTGGCTTCCCGACTTCATGGCCAATTCGGAGACGCGTTGCTCCAAATCCACGGTGCGGCTCGGAGGACCCGCCTTGGCACGACCACAAGGCGGTGCTTGTCATTACAAGGTTGAATTTGTTGAATATCATAATCATAGTCTAATCATAGTCTAATCATAGTCTAATCATAGTCTAATCATAGTCTAATCATAGTCTAATCATAGTCTAATCATAGTCTAATCATAGTCTAATCATAGTCTAATCATAGTCTAATCATAGTCTAATCATAGTCTAACCATAGTCTAATCATAGTCTAATCATAGTCTAATCATAGTCTAATCATAGTCTAATCATAGTCTAATCATAGTCTAATCACAGTCTAATCATAGTCTAATCATAGTCTAATCATAGTCTAATCATAGTCTAATCATAGTCTAATCATAGTCTAATCATAGTCTAATCATAGTCTAATCATAGTCTAATCATAGTCTAATCATAGTCTAATCACAGTCTAATCATAGTCTAATCATAGTCTAATCATAGTCTCAAGTCTAATCATAGTCTAATCATAGTCTAATCATAGTCTAATCATAGTCTAATCATAGTCTAATCATAGTCTCAAGTCTCATAGTCTAATCATAGTCTAATCATAGTCTAATCATAGTCTAATCATAGTCTAATAGTCTAATCATAGTCTAATCATAGTCTAAGTCTCATAGTCTAATCATAGTCTAATCATAGTCTAATCACAGTCTAATCACAGTCTAATCATAGTCTAATCATAGTCTAATCACAGTCTAATCATAGTCTAATCATAGTCTAATCATAGTCTCATAGTCATCAGTCTAATCATAGTCTAATCATAGTCTCAAGTCTCATAGTCTAATCATAGTCTAATCATAGTCTAAGTCTCATAGTCTAATCATAGTCTAATCATAGTCTAATCATAGTCTAATCATAGTCTAATCACAGTCTAATCATAGTCTAATCACAGTCTAATCACAGTCTAATCATAGTCTAATCATAGTCTAATCATAGTCTAATCATAGTCTAATCATAGTCTAATCATAGTCTAATAGTCTAATCACAGTCATAGTCTAATCATAGTCTAATCATAGTCTAATCATAGTCTAATCATAGTCTAATCATAGTCTAATCATAGTCATAGTCTAATCATAGTCTAATCACAGTCATAGTCTAATCATAGTCTAATCATAGTCTAATCATAGTCTAATCATAGTCTAATCATAGTCTAATCATAGTCTAATCATAGTCTAATCATAGTCTAATCATAGTCTAATCATAGTCTAATCATAGTCTAATCATAGTCTAATCATAGTCTAATCATAGTCTAATCATAGTCTAATCAATCTAACATAGTCTAATCATAGTCTAATCATAGTCTAATCATAGTCTAATCATAGTCTAATCATAGTCTAATCACAGTCTAATCATAGTCTAATCATAGTCTAATCATAGTCTAATCATAGTCTAATCATAGTCTAATCATAGTCTAATCATAGTCTAATCATAGTCTAATCATAGTCTAATCATAGTCTAATCATAGTCTAATCATAGTCTAATCATAGTCTAATCATAGTCTAATCATAGTCTAATCATAGTCTAATCATAGTCTAATCATAGTCTAGTCATAGTCTAATCATAGTCTAATCATAGTCTAATCATAGTCTAATCATAGTCTAATCATAGTCTAATCACAGTCTAATCATAGTCTAATCATAGTCTAATCATAGTCTAATCATAGTCTAATCATAGTCTAATCACAGTCTAATCACAGTCTAATCATAGTCTAATCATAGTCTAATCATAGTCTAATCATAGTCTAATCATAGTCTAATCACAGTCATAGTCTAATCATAGTCTAATCAAGTCTAATAGTCTAATCATAGTCTAATCATAGTCTAATCATAGTCTAATCATAGTCTAATCATAGTCTAATCATAGTCTAATCATAGTCTAATCATAGTCTAATCATAGTCTAATCATAGTCTAATCATAGTCTAATCACAGTCTAATCATAGTCTAATCATAGTCTAATCATAGTCTAATCATAGTCTAATCATAGTCTAATCACAGTCTAATCATAGTCTAATCATAGTCTAATCATAGTCTAATCATAGTCTAATCATAGTCTAATCATAGTCTAATCATAGTCTAATCACAGTCTAATCATAGTCTAATAATCATAGTCTAATCATAGTCTAATCATAGTCTAATAGTCTAATCATAGTCTAATCATAGTCTAATCATAGTCTAATCATAGTCTAATCATAGTCTAATCATAGTCTAATCATAGTCTAATCATAGTCTAATCATAGTCTAATCATAGTCTAATCATAGTCTAATCATAGTCTAAGTCATAGTCTAAGTCATAGTCTAAGTCATAGTCTAATCATAGTCTAATCATAGTCTAATAGTCTAATCATAGTCTAATCATAGTCTAATCATAGTCTCATAGTCATAGTCTCATAGTCTAATCATAGTCTAATCATAGTCTAACATAGTCTAATCATAGTCTAATCATAGTCTAATCATAGTCTAATCATAGTCTAATCACAGTCTAATCACAGTCTAATCATAGTCTAATCATAGTCTAATCATAGTCTAATATAGTCTAATAGTCTAATCATAGTCTAATCATAGTCTAATCATAGTCTAATCATAGTCTAATCATAGTCTAATCATAGTCTAATCATAGTCTAATAGTCTAATCATAGTCTAATCACAGTCTAATCATAGTCTAATCATAGTCTAATCATAGTCTAATCATAGTCTAATCATAGTCTAATCATAGTCTAATCATAGTCTAATCATAGTCTAATCATAGTCTAATCATAGTCTAATCATAGTCTAATCATAGTCTAATCATAGTCAATCACAGTCTAACAAGTCAATCATAGTCAATCATAGTCTAATATAGTCAATCATAGTCAACATATCAATATAGTTAATCTAGTGAATCACTTCAACTATCAATATATCTAACATAGTGAATCAAGTCAAACTATCAATCATAACTACATGCATATATAGGTAATATATGAATATAGATACAATCAATATGTCAATGTAGCAAGGCAACAATACTTGGACATATCTATAAAGTCAATAAACTTTCACTTCAATCAATCAATCCAACAATAGGCTAACATTCAAAAGGTCGTTTTTTGGTGCACAGCATGCAATCATGCCTTCCTGAGCACTGGTACTGTAACTGCTTGTTCGCTTTGCTGCGCTGGCCAGAGCCACCGACACCTGCGTTTGGGATAATGTGGGTAACTCAGGTATAGCAGTGCAAACACATGAAAATAGTGATCATAGTGCTCGGGCCAACAAATTCTGCAGGCAAACTTCACCTCGAAAGTTGCAGGGTTGATTTGCGAGGATCACTATGATCACTTACACTGATAGCATCCAAGCTTCATATGGAGAGGCATTATAAGAGTCATGTTGTTCTGGCCCGACAGTCTTCTCCCCATTAGTCCGGACATCCTGACGGCTGACGCCTCCTTCCCCGCAATCTTGCTCCCATCCAGGTCTTTCGCTGCATCTTGCGCATCCCGGCTATCCTGGACGAACATCATGGAACATCACCCATAACCCGTTTGTCAAGTGGAGGCACCGCGAGCCTTTTTGGACAGAAAACCCGACCCAAACAAGCTCAATCGAAATGGATGGGATATCAGGATCACGCTGGTGCTACAGGTCCTAATGCCATCTAATGCCCAAATCGTTGGATTTGGACAACCACAGGGTAGTCGACTGAATCACCTGGTGAGGCAAACTTGATGCCTCGTACTCCACGTACGCACATCTCTGCGTCCTGAGCTTGCGAGTGTTGCACCAGCATGCACCAGCACTTCCATGGGGGGTCATGGGGGCACAGGGCACCGTTTTGTGGCAGCTGCATGTTCAATATTCATATATTATCATATATTCATACTGAGTAATACTGCTTGAAAACCAAGGCATGACCTTGAACCAGGGGCCAGCATTTGCTCCGCGCTTGGGATGCGGCATTTCAGAGTTTGAGAGCGCTGGAAAGTTCATTGAATCACGGTCGTCCCGAGCAACAACCAAAAAATGGGACACTTCTAAGCAAGATATACCATGATATACCTATAAAACCGGCAACAGCAGTAGAATTCTACAAACTTCTAATACCAACATCCATCCAACTACGCATGAGCAAAGCAAAGGCTTCATATTTACTTTGGGATATTTTCATATATCAATGGATTGGTTTAAGGGAAAATTTACAGGAAAGCCCCTAATATTTAATGGGAAAATCTATGGTTTCCTGTAGATTTTCCCTTAAACCAATCCATTGAATCCACGGCTGGTGCCCGAGTAACTCCGAGACGTCGATCCGTAGGATCTGGCCGAAATCGCCGAAGGGAGCCTGGCGGTCCGAAATGCTCCGAAGGAAAACCACATGGAAGTTGCAATGTGGTAAAACCCATAGGCCCATAGGGCTTAATATCAATGAATAATCATGTGGTTAACCCATAGGGCTTAATATCAATGAATATCAATTAATAATGTCTGTGGTTCTAATTCTAAAACTTCAAGAATCATCAGGTCATGTGTGTGTTTTACGGGTGATGGGAGATTCAACCACCTCTGCGGGATGTGATGGGAGATTTTAACCCCGATGATCATGCAGCCCCAAAGATATTTGGGCACATGGTTTCAAATACCCACTCAAGGAATCCACTATCCACATTAACATACATGTGTTTTTTCTCACGGCTATATATTAATTTTGGGGTCTATCTCACATCATAATCATCATATGCGGGAAATCTATCGATCAGCATAGAATAGGCAGTGGCTCCATCATGGCAAGTCCACCAGAATTTCTTTGGCAGCACCTGCAGGGTGGTTTTTCTCAGCCATTCCTTCGGAACCGGACCGCCATCTTTCGGCTTCACGTAAAGCCTGGGCAGCTGGCTGGCGATCTCTGGCATACCAACAATGTTTCTACAGCCAAGCTAAAGGATATCATTAACAACCAACCATGTACGATAGTACTATCTCATATCTATATATTATAATATATTATATATATACATATTATATACCGTATTATACCTGTGAATATCCATGAAATTGCATGATTCCCATGATTCTCCGGCTAGGCCGGAGCTCATCCTTTCGAAAGCTGCCCTTCCGAGGCATCCACGTGACACCAGTCTTGTAAGGTATGGAGCCTCCCATGCCGCCCTGCGCGGAAGAGGTGCTCCGAGGCAGCAAAAAAAAAACGATCAGATTTAGAGACGATTAATGATATTTATGTATGAATGGCGGTACTGGTACCAAATAATGATGCATAATCCCTTCCTTCTATGTAATACTGAGTGTATCATAGTGTATCTATTGGATCAGTTCATTTGAGTTCGTTTTGGGGTCCCTTGTGGGGCATTTGAATCATTTGAGTTTGTAAGGGGAATGGATGCCAAACCACTGCCAAATCTTGTGCCCTCCAGCGTACCCGGGGAAGCTTCAGCAACTTGCCTCTCGCAACGCCCGAGCTGATGGTCCGTTCATGGCTGGAAACTATGGGAAACGGACGGAAATCTCTTAGATCTGTGAAAATTGGAGTGAGAGGACCCTAGAGGCCTTGCACTTACCCTGACTTCTGATTTCAACTTTATAATTTTAAGTCTGTTCTCAAAGATCTCTCTGGCATTGAAAATTGTGCACGTTTTTTTTCTGCAGGGTGAGTTGAAGGGTGCCCTTTGTGGCGGTTTCCCTTCAGGATCCTCTTGTGCTGGGCCAAATCCTATGTGCTGGGTGTGAAACCTCCTCATTGCTATGACAACAGTTTGGTGCACCTGGCTGAGGCAACTTTCAGGGGGGAATCTCTGATTCGAACCTTTCCATGTGAAGCTGGTGCTCACGTTTTTAAGCCACTGTGACCCAAAAGGACGGGGATGGACGGCGCAACATTTAGTGGTTCAAGGCCAACACCAATGATACTCACCGAGACAAGAATCCTAGATAACTTCCATAGTCGCAAATAGCCCCCCAATCATCCCTGATTATCCCCCAAAATCATCCCAGCAACCTCTTTTTCACCACAGGTCTGGCCGCGAGCTCAATCATCATTCGCCATGTCTAGCAACTCATCGTGCGCCACGTGCCCCCACCACGTCGTCGAAGGCTTGGAGGGTCGTCTGCGCGATATCCGTTGTCAAAGAAAGGTCAACTTGGGAGCTGGAAACCACCTGAGCGCCGGACTGCGTCACATCCAATGTCTTCGGCCCCTATTTTTTTGGGGGAGGGGACCTCAATGAACCTCACGGAAACAATCAGAAAGGCACAATACATTACAGTATGGCATCTTATAAATTTTTATATTTATTTATAATTTAATCCCCCATGTACAGCTCGCTAGATGCTTTGCGGCCGACTTTATAGAGAATGGCCTGGTATAAACTGGAATGGCCACATGTTTGGAGTCTATAAAGTGGAAAGCCAACATGTTTTGTCTATAAAGTCAAAATCCAACGTTTGTATAAAGTCGCCTGGCCGCGTAAAAACATAAAACTCGATGTAGGTTTTTGAGGGTACTTGTGAACATGTCCCATGACTATAAAGTGAGATGCCGAACATCCAGATAGTAATACTTGTGTCGAACAGTGGCACTATAATGTGGATTTCCTACTAAACAACGATCGTTGTAGTAGCGATGATTTTCTTAATCGCGGCGATGGAAGCATCGACATGATTGTCTATAAAGTTGAGGGGCCACGTTCAAACTTTGGGGGAATATCATCGATCTCATCGATGGGGAACCCAAAAGACTTCGAATGACTTCGAAACCGAACGAAACCGACAGCCAGACAAATATCGATATCGAAGTCGTTAACAGAATCTATGGTAAAACAGAATCTATGTTGGACTGGCCACTTTATACCCCCTCCCCCAACAGAGAATGCCTCTATAAAGTGGCCAGTCCAGGTAAAACCCCTGAAAAAACAGAATCTATGTTGGACTGGCCACTTTATACCCCCTCCCCCAACAGAGAATGCCTCTATAAAGTGGCCAGTCCAGGTAAAACCCCTGAAAAAAGACATTTTTACTTGGAATGGCCACTTTATACCCCAGCCAGTCGGTTCGAGGACTTCGACCCGGAAACGGAAGGACTGACAACAAGGTAAAGGGGGAAAACTACAACGGAGAGGTACAACGAGAAGGCTACGACAAGAAAATGAGACATGTCACGTTTATATACGTTTATTGTTTTCAATGTGTCATATAGATTGGCGACGATTGGTATATTGAATATGTTGTAGATGTATTTTGGAACATATGTATACCTATGATTCACACATCAATATAAATATATATAAATCATAAACACATGCCAAACCAAAAACTTTTAGCTGAGTATTGTATTCCCAATCTGTTGGCAAATGTCCAGCCGATTCACCATGCGTGACCCAACAAGATTCAAACTACGGATTGTTTACTTTCGAAAATATTTTTTTACTGGGTGAATCTACGTATATCTATGACGACAATCTCCCAAAATCATCCAAAAAACCTATGGACATCTATGGACCAAAACCACAGCCACATGCCCATCCTCTATAAAATGGTTTGCAAGAAAGTTCAGCTCTATAAAGTGGCCTGATCACATCATTTCCACCCTCTGTGTAAACTGGACGGGTCCATGTCCATCCTTTATAAAATGGTTTGCAACAAAGTTCAGCTCTATAAAGTGGATTGATCACGTCATTTCTGGCAGCACCACCCTCTGTATAAACTGGACCGGTCCATGCCCATCCTCTATAAAATGGTTGGCAAGAAAGTTCAGCTCTATAAAGTGACTTGGATGATGTATCTCATGACTCTATAAAATGCTCTGCCGCAATTTTCTTTCTATAAAGTGCCCTGGATGCAGCACAAATTCTTCTTCTTAAAGGGCAAGTTTCACTCTATAAAGTGCTTTGCCATGTATACAGCCCCAACAGAAAAATATTGGCCCGAAATCATTGGGGAGACATGTTTCTATAAAGTGGATGGTGTGACATATTATGGCCATTCTTTGAAGGGAACCAACGGTCTATAAAATGCATTGCCGCATATGTTGAGTCGTTTCCTTGTGGGAAACCAGCCGGGTATAGACTGGAAAGCCAACGTTGTAATAAAGTCGTCTTGATCGCTCTGTTTCACCAAAGCACAAAGGAGGACTGTAGAAGTTGTTTCAGTCAAACTTTCAAGAAACGGAAATATGGAAGTATCATATATATATATACATAGTGTAGCAATTGTTTACGCAAAATACGTGGATCGTCGTGGCTCGTAAAAATTTATCTGCGCCAAACGAAAATTCGAAATGGATCGAAAAACCCTTTTCGTGACAAACTTGTTACACTTCTCGTCAAAACGCGTGGTGTCTCACATGCAGAATCAAACTGAAAACAGCTTGCAGTGAAAAACAGGTCAGCACCTTTTTAGACAGCGGGGGTGAAAGTCACGAGTGAGTTGCCAGTTACGCACTGGAGTTGACAACGGCTTAGGGGTAGGTCGTTCCGGAGGATCAACTCAGTACTGGCAAGTGAAACATAGTAAGAACGGAGAAGAGAATGAAAACTCAAGGGTGGGGAAAGAAAGGGAGGGCTGAGAAAGAACTTGTTTGAATTGAAAAACAAGTTTCAATGCCCGCCACTCCACGACCCTTGATTCAGAAATGTCACAGCACAAGATATATGATTATCAGTGCAATGATTTCGAAGGTCTCTCTGTTTAGTTGGTTTCTTAGATGTGGCTACCGTTCTTACACAGAAAAGTTGAGACGTCAAACTTGTGAGCAGAAATCAGGTTTGACCGTTTCAACAGGTTGACAAAACAACACCTAAAAGACGGTGTTAAATTTTTGAGTTAGAAAAGAGCGTAGTCGGTTTACACTCAGGAAATAAACTCAAGGGAACTTCCACGATATACACTTTGGTGAAACTACGCTCCGTGGAGCCTTCGCCGAGCTTCCAAGACATGGCTGTCATTTCATGAACGCCTTCGTCTTGATCGCTCTGTTTCACCAAAGCACAAAGGAGGACTGTAGAAGTTGTTTCAGTCAAACTTCCAAGAAACGGAAATATGGAAGTATCATATATATATATATACATAGTGTATATATATAGCGCAATTGTTTACGCAAAATACGTGGATCGTCGTGGCTCGTAAAAATTTATCTGCGCCAAACGAAAATTCGAAATGGATCGAAAAACCCTTTTCGTGACAAACTTGTTACACTTCTCGTCAAAACGCGTGGTGTCTCACATGCAGAATCAAACTGAAAACAGCTTGCAGTGAAAAACAGGTCAGCACCTTTTTAGACAGCGGGGGTGAAAGTCACGAGTGAGTTGCCAGTTACGCACTGGAGTTGACCCCCTTAGAGAGTGCGTTCAACGAGGCATACGGTTCCCGATGCATAAGGAGGATGGCATCGACCAGTCGACTCGGTACTCGCAACACCCCAGCTTCTGAAGCTCTAAAGAGTTTGGCTGCCAGTTTGACCTGTTTGCGAGAAGGCATGTCACTAGGGTTACTATACGAGGCCACACGTTCAAGCCACACCGAGGAAGGCATCTCAAGCTCAAGTTGTTGGAGGGTTCGGCTCATTGCTAGAAGGCTAAAAGAATCTGACGACCCTTTGATTGCCACAAATCTTGCCGCCTCGTTATCGATCCAAGCAATGCCAAGTCGGTTGAGCAAAGCCTCACGGCAATCGAAGCGGACGGCAAGATAAACAAAGAACTCGATCTGGGATATCAGTTGTTCTCCAACTTCCTCAAGCCACTTGGCCACAAGCGCGGCTGGGATCTCCACTTCAAAGACTTTCGACTCTCCCGTGCGGGGGTCGAAGGTCAAAGCACCACCTGTTGCTTTCCCATCCTCCCAAGCTCCGTCTGTGAAGATGAGAAGAGGATCTTTGAAGGACTCTGACACATACACTCGAGGCGGCATGGCCTTCAACATAGTTACTGCCAAATTGCAAAGTTTGGAGATATCATCACCCCCCAGCGACCTGGGCAGGTCAGCCAGTCTAGAAAATGAAGATACCAGAAACCTGAGAGCTTTGGACACAAAGAATCCGCTTGCAAAATTCAAGTGACCCTGGATCTGCGCAGCTTCCGATTTTGAAATGGCTCCTCTGCATTTGACCGACTCGAGCATGGCACACAAGCGCTCAATGCGCCCTTCCTTATTGCATAAGATGAAAGACCTTTGTTGAGGTGGTCCAGTTGTACCGATATCCCCAGGGCGTTGAATGACGCAGCGAAATCCACCGCCTTGACGCCAACTTTGGCATGGTCCCAACCAAGCAGCGTGAGCATGGCACTCATCGCTTTTGAAAGGATAGCCGCAGAAGCATTGGGGCTGATTGTTGGGTAATCGTCGTAAAAGCAAGTGCATGGTCCCCAAAGTAACTTACATATCAAGAAGTGCAATGATCTGGACACCCTGTTGAAACTGTAGACTGCTGCAATAGCTCCAAAAGGAAGAACATCACACCTAAAGAAAACCCAGCGGCCCCTGTAGTGGTAGCCAACCACGCTCAAGCATCTTGAAGCCCTGTCCAGAGCGAGTTGTTTGTACGCCCGTGACAAGTCAAGAGTCCGTCCTGACCAAGCATCTGATGCCACCTCAGGGTGGACTGGCACAGAGCAAACTGTGTCATCGTCCATGTCAAAGCTCACCTTGCCGGCTCGCAAGCTATCCGCAACCGCTGCAACCAGTGCCGCAAGAGTATCTACATCATACAGCTCAAGCTTGAAGTTGGTGGTATATGCAAGGTTCAAAGCCGACCGCTTGCCATCATCTATTGCTCTTACTTTGTTCTCGGACCCTTGGTAGAGGGCAAACCTAGGGTTGAAAAGCCACTTATCTGACCCAAAGTGTTCTGTAACCTCCTGCTCGGAGTAAGGTCCATGCAAGTGTCCCAAAGCAACTTCCTTCATTGTCGCATCGTGAAGATCATCCTGCACGGAATCTTCCACCTTGGACTGCTCAGCCCCCATCAGGGCTTTTCTCCTCCAGACTGAAGACTCCAAGAGCTCGTCCACTGAAATCAAAGAGGGCTTCCAGTCATCTGGAAAATTAGGTGGCTTGGTATGACATCCATAAAGAGGAATCCCATTAGTAACAAGGTCAACCACTTGCATATCCACAAACCCTGTAGTTTCTAGCAGGTATTTCCACAAGCAAAGGCGTTTGT